GTCCTGCCTGTCTTGCTTTCCTATTGGCCAACAGTGCTTTATTCATTAACCAATAAGAGAAATATCATTACAGAATGACATCTCCCATCAGATTGGTAAGGGAGTAGATGTGAGGTAGAAGTCATTTTAAGATATTTGAGGGCTGAGACATCAAAATGTCTCAACAGATAAGGGTACTTGCCACCAAGACTGACAGCCTGAGTTCAACCCCAAAGTCTAACATGGTAGTAGGAGGACTCTGACACCCACAAGCTTGCCTACAACCTCCACAGGAATGCAATAATGCTGGTCCCCACCCTCCCCCACCCCCACCACCCCCCCCCCCGGCAACACACATATACAACCTCCAACCCTCACACACTAAAAATGATAATACTAATAATAGATGTTATCTTTAAAGTTTTAAAAATATATAACCAAAAATATAGACTTCTTTCTTTTCAACTCAAACACAAAGGTAATGAAGGTAAGCACATTTTGACCATAGACAAATCTAAAATATAGTTTGGACCATAGCATTGGTATCTTGTGTAAGCATAAGACATAAGGGAGTATACATTAATTCAAGTCTTATGTATATAAGAATCTCAACATGCACTGACTGGATTTGTAAACAGACACTAAAATGCCTGAATGTCAAATAACAACACAATTCAAGAACAGCTTCATAGAATCACTGAATCCGCAAGCTTATAATTCCCATCAAATAAGAATGTCTTACATTGCAAATGTTTTACAATATAATTTTTTAAAGCATTGACATCATTGTATTTGTACAATCATTCTACAGGGAAAAGCCTGTGTTTTCATTGCCATGATTTTGTCTATAATATAATGATGATGATTTGTGTGATGAACATCAATTTTAAAGATGTTTAATTATTTCTTTAATGGCACTATCACATTACTTTTTATTTTTATTAGAGGTTTGAAGTTGATATTTTGCTCTTAATTTTTTTTCTATCAGAACAATCTAAGCATGGTAGAAGACTCTTGGGGTAGAACTTGAACTAGATAATTTAGAAAAAGTTCAAAATCCTAAAAACATGCAAATGTACATTGTATAAAATGGAAAGGAAAATGAATCAAGCTTTTGATTTTCCCTATGGGAAATAACTTTAATATTACAAGCAAAGGCTGTTTCCAGTTTACTTTAGGGAAAGATATTAACTGATTTTTCTAAAAAAGACAGACAGTTTAACACAGGAAGTTGGGACCACAATCAGCAAACTGGCAAGGTCAGGTTGACTTGAGGTCTTTATTTACAGCTACTTCTGAATAAATTTCTTGTGTGTGTGTGTGTGTGTGGTGTGCGTGTGTGTGTCTGTGTGTGTGTGTGTGTGTGTGTGTCAGGAAGAGTCAGAGCCTGAGGCTTTGGGTAGAGCATTTGACACAATCTTTTTTTTTTTTTTTAATTATCAGATGACGTTGACTCCTGTTTTCTTTTCAAGAAAGAACTTTTGTCCACAGGAGCAGTGAGATTTATTTCATGCCACATCTGCATTGTGATTTTTTTTCTATGTTTAACCTTTCCTTAAATTCCTTGGTTATTTGAAGAAAAGGATTAGGGTGACTCATTTGTGGATCATGCTGTTACTGCTGATGTACACTGTTCTTAATAGCCAAAAGCCATGGATACTTTAAGGTAGGGGACTGCAAAAAGTCTACATTGAACTGTTCTAGGGAGTTGAGGAGGTGGATCCATGGTTTGAGTGCTCACTGCTGTTGCAGAGATCCTGGTTTCCATTCTCAATGCAGAATAAGTCTCAGCAGAATCAGTATAACTAGCAGCAAGGTCACAAACACCACTAGTAAGGGTGTTGGGGAGGGTGACCCTATTCACTGCTGGTGGAAGTTAAACTGGTTTCTTCACTGTGGACATCAATACAGAGTTCTCAGAAAGACTACCACATGACCCAACTGTGCCACTTCTTAGTATATTGGAAAAGACTCCACATCATACCACAGAGATACATCTCTGTTCATTATTGCTCTATTCATAATAGATAAGAAATAAACCAGTCCAAGTACCCATCAACAGATGAAATGATAGAGAATATAGTATATATGTACAATATTATTCTTTTCATCCATAAAGAAAACTAATCATGGCATTTGCAAGGAAAGTGGATGGAACTGACATTTATTGTTGAACAAGAACCAGAAAGTCAAATATCATTTCTTTCTCTGATACATGGATCCTAGATCTTAATCTGTATGGAAAATGTGAATATTCTATACTTGGAAGAGAGTATGTACCATAAAATTGGAAAGGGGACATGAGAGTGGATAGAGATCTTAGAGGATTATACAACATGTGTGATAAGAAGGGGGCATTGTAAGGAGAGTGAGGACCAGTGGAAAGGGGAGAAGGAGATAGGAAAGGGAGATGGGAGGGGGAGTCAGGAGAGACTCAACAAGAACAATGAATGTAGGAAAAACCACAGTGAAGCTCCTTACTTTGAATAATAATTTTAAGTGACTAATTTGGAAGATGGGAAAGTATCACTTCTCATGCTATATGATTTCAGTGGCTACAAAAATAAAATTATAATCTAATACTATGAAATGAAAATTTTGTTTTCTTTCACTGGATGCTATTTGTTTGTTTGATTTTGGTTTGATTGCTTTTGAGATTTTAATTTAGTTATATTTCTTCCTTTCCCTTTCCCCACTCCAAAGTTTCCCATAGAACCCTTCCCACTCTCCTTTAAATGCATGGCCCTTTTTTATTGTCATTGCATGCATACATGTATTTGTATATAGATGTATATTCCTAAATATAACCTGTTGATTTCAAGGATGACAACAATAGGCATGACAAACTGGATGGAGAAAAGCCCATGAGGCCTCACCTTTCCACAAAGAACTACTACTTGCAACTGAGGGAAGCTGGGAGCAGGAGACATCGTCCTTTCTGAGGAAAAACACACCAACTAGTTACCCAATATCAAACAGTCAACCCCAAAAACACACATACAACTAACACTGGCTGCTTTTATAGGATGACATATTAACTATTCGACATCTAGGAAACCCTAAGCTGTGACACTCTGTTGATTGACATCAGTGTGGTACCAAGAATGACAGGCCCAGTTTCTGTACCCAAGGTCTAGATAAAGGAGATGTTAGGAGATTAGACCTTCAAAATGTCAGATAATTTTTCATTTTCCTGTACCATGTTGGTTTTTTATATGAAATACCACAGCTTACCTTTCACTTCCCTAACTCAATTAGGAAGAAGAGAACAGTGACTGTGAACTTGTCTTCATCCAACACTGGCTACCCTAAGGCATAGAAGTTAGTGCTCTTTGGCTTTGTTTTTACTTAAGAAATAAATACAAAGCACACATGAACTGTCACACATCTTTCTTTTAAAGTTGGTAGATCACTGAGTTTCAATTCGTCTAACTTTCTGCACTAGCTATGTGAGCAACCGCCTTGCTTCCTCTAGTTCTCTAGGGAGACAGCATATTTTAAGATTCTTAGTCCTGTCCTCAAAACTCCTGCTTATGGAGACAAATGTGAACACCTGTAAGGAAGTACCAGAAACTTACACATGTACTCTTCCGGCCTGACACTGGATCACTATTAGATTTAAAAGGTTTTTAAATGTTATATTCAGTGCTTGTATTTTGAATAGCTATACAGAAATATTTCTAATGAAGTTTGTTAACCACTCTCAACAGCTGGGTAAAATATTAAATTACTGGCTAAGAATTTTTTCTCTTTTATATGTATGATTCAGGTACAAAGGTATTCATGTATGTTCATGTTGTGTGAGTCCAGGCACGTACGTGTTCAGTACTCATGTGACATCAAAAAGACCTCAGAGGTCATCCTCACCTTGTTGTCCCACATTTCCAAGGATGCTCTTCTCTCTGCCTCCCATCTTGTCTCAATTCTCTGTCCTACATGGGTCCTTGGGTTACCAGCTGAGTCCTAACACTGGAGGGAGAGAGCTATCTCAGGTGAGCCAACTTTCCAGCCAAGGGCTGAGTTTTTAAATCACTTCTTAGAATTATGAAAGGTTTATCTCATCCAAGGAGAAATTTTTCTAAAATGGGAATAATGAAGAATTCAAAGACTATAAATCTTTGAAATAGAATTCACTTTAATCCAGAAACTAATAGAACTCTGAATTTATAAACAGAAATGTTGACTTTGCAAACAGTAGCACTTACTGAGCTAGAATTTTATGGGACCAGGAATTTTTGTGAATTTTATATGATGATAGTCCTTGACAATTCATTGTGACCTAATCAATGCACATTCTCCTAGGAAATTCTTGGTGATACAATTAGACTAGACTTTTAATATTGACCTTGTAATTTGATTTCATTTTAAGCATTTCAAAATTCATTCATAGTAGTAATGTCCCATAATTATACAATGTGACCTGCAATTGTTGTATCAAAATAACATGGTGAAGTTATCAAACTACAACATTCTTTGTAGTGTGTCTTGTTCAATTCTCTCTCCTCTCTATCCTCCCTCTCTCAACAATGTCTTACTACATGCTCCTGGCTTTCCTGGACTTGCTTTATAAATGAGGCTGATCTTAGACTTGGAGACATCCCCTGCCTCTGCCTTTCTAATGCTGGGATTAGAGTGTGCATCACCACGCCCAACTTTTCTAGGAGGCTTCTAAGCCATGACTTTTATATATGAAACACAGTAGACAGAAACCTTTTAAACATACTAAACTCAATAGATTTGCTCTTTAAATGGCTTCACTGTCAGAATGAAATGTGTTTCTTGTGCACAAACCTCATATGCTTTCTCATATGACTTGAGTCTAATAACTATCATGTGGAAGTAAATTGATATTGATCACAGGTTTGGGTCTACCATCAAAGTTGGAGTAAAAGGTCCATAAGTTCTAGATTGTCTAGATTCTGAAGTTACAGTTTCTGATACACCCTGATATAAGCAAGGCAGGACTCCTTGGATGAGTGACATCCTCTAGGAGAACTCATTCTTTCTGAATTTTTCCCCAGGATCTGTCACTGTGAAGGAGATGAAGAGAGCCCACTCATCACACCCTGTCGCTGCACAGGAACCTTGCATTTTGTCCACCAGTCCTGTCTCCACCAGTGGATCAAGAGCTCAGACACACGATGCTGTGAGCTCTGCAAGTATGACTTCATAATGGAGACCAAGCTCAAACCCCTTCGGAAGGTACAGTGTGGGTTGGGCAGAATAGGGATGGGAGAAAGAACTTGTAAAGCAGGCTTGCTTTCAAATTTAACTTCCTCCTTGATAAGATTCTGCCAATATTCTAATGCTCATGGAGGATGCTTGTCCTATAGTGGACTCAATGGGCAAAATAGAGCCATGTCTTTGTAAGTAAATCGGTTTGTTCTGTCTTTAAAGGTAGACATGTGTGCAAATGCATAGAGAAACACATATTAGCTGTGTATATATGAAAACTGAAATTATAATTACAGATAATTAAATTAATGAAAAGTATGAGGATGTTGATCTGTTGAGGTTGGTCCCCACAGCTAGATGACAGAATCTGCTAAACATGAAATTATGTAACTTTTTAAAAGTTGACTATTAGATAACAAGAGAATGATTCATACTACAAGAGGTGATTTAGGTTATGTTTAATTTCTTTTAGTGTTTGGTCCAATGTTTTATATGACACTAGAGGAGGTAGAAAGAAAAGCCACTATTGTCTATAATGTCCAACAAGTTGCAAGAGAAATAGAATTACATTTTTAATCTATAAAATTTATCTTCAAAGCCTTAGTTTGTGTTGATTCTTTTCTAGAAAATGATAGTAAGATTGTGAGCAAAGTACAAAACTAAAAATTATCTCAGAGTCACCAATAGAACACTTGTCAAGGATACAGGTGAGGGTGTTGTGCTGTGTATAATTCATTCTCAAGCCCAGGAATTTACCATTTAACTTATCCATCTTTTTGCCTCCTAACTGCAGACACACACACACACACAAACACACACACACACACACAAACACACACACACACACACACACACACAAAATATCTGTGTATATAGATGCCTTTATATCCAAAGGGAGTGGTGGGGACTGCAATTTAAATAATGAGTCAGCCCAGAGCTGCTTTCCTATTTAAATTAAATGCAGAGCTAAAGCAGATAGAAAGAGCAATGCATGGAAATAAACATGATGTGTTCCAGAATAAGAAGAGATGAAAGCAAATAAGAATATTTCACTAGGCGTCTAATGGGAGGCTAGCCATGTAGCCAAAGTAAGTAACTCTTCATTCACTCTTGAAATTATGGGGATGGAAAGTGCCATGCCTAATTTTTATAGTAGACTTGATTTTTTTAATTCGTAAATGGTTTATAGATCTCAAAACTATATATAAGTTATCTTCAGGGAGATGGATTTTTTCAGTGGGATGACTCGAATGCCAAAAGGTGACTCGCTGATTCTCTGACCCCCCCCCCCAGAGCAATCATTGCAGAAGTAGAAAACGATGCACACTCTACACTCTGCTTATATGCTAAGCAGACACTATACTGACAGAACTGAATGATGTGCTGGTGATTCTTTGAATTCCTGTTCTTGTCCCTCAGGGGATTACAAGTTGTTTCACAGCACCTGTATCCCTTCCTGTCCCTTTCCCATTCTCTACCCGCACAAAAATTTCATTTCAACTTAGTTGAACATAATATTTGAATTTAAAAGTAAGACTCTAGAAAAATAACATACTCAAGTTGTCTCTTTTATATTAAGCCTTCCAACACTCTTTCTCTTCTAGGACATTCAAAACCTATGGGAAGTATTTTAAATCCTCACCCTCCTCTCTTTAAAAATATGAGGCATGGCCAAGGTATATAGCAGGCAATGTCTTCAACATCTTTTTAGATTGTGAGGCAGTTCAAAACAACATATAAAAAGAATTTTAAACTGTTCTGCATACTTTGTTTTGATGGGATAGAAACTCACCAGTGTATTCTTTTGGTAGTTTTTAAGTATTCATAAAGAATGCCAGGTATACCGTTCAATAATATATTTGAATTAATCCAATTGATTGCTCTCAACTCAGTAATTCCATTACATTTTACAACTTTCTAAATACCAAGCACATGAAACAATTAATTTAGCTAATGATTCTGGATCTCTACCATCAGTGAATGGAGGTGGGAGACTGTGATTAGATAAGATGGCTTCTTCAGAGAAAGTATCAGTCTTCATAGGCTGATGGAGCTTGGGGCTTAACTCTGTACATATACTAGTAAAGCCATACCTCATTGATTGCCATTACTACACCAAAAAATTACAGTCAGCAAAGTCATAACGGTAGTCTAATGTTTGTAGAAGAAAATCTTCAAAGTCAAAATAAAATCAAGAGTGTATTCCAAGGAAAGCAAATCCCCACCATCTTAAGTCTGTAGCTCAGCTACTTTTATGACAATCAATAAAAGTCCTATTAACTTGCTTAGTTACCTGGGGCCAGGAGAAATTCTCACAGCCAAGGAAAGTAAAATTTAAAAAAAAAATCACAAATAAAGAAAGCACAGTGATGAGCTAGTGAAATTTGGAAAGTAACATGCTGTTGATTAGGAAGCATAAACTATATTTGCATTCCGAAGCTAAAGTCTGGGATTCTAATCAGAATCTCCCTGAGTGAGAAGCCAGTTGCTGACATACAACAGGTTCACAAGGACAGCAAGTACTACTGATGACTTATGTCCTGTTCTAAAATATTTGTGCATATAAATTGCATGATAAATATAAACTGTTTCTATTTACTTTTTGTCTTGTTTAATTCAACCCACATTAAACCCATTTTACATAAAAAGAAAAGAGTCACCATATCAAACTTAATGTCACACACTGCAAATACCTTTGTACCCACTGTATGGTGCCTGATGGTAACATAACTCCTAGGTTCTCTTTAAGGATCATAGCATTCATTTTTCTGGGTATGAGGAGGCACAGAAAGCTGAGGCTAATAGATCAAGTCATTAATGGCACCCTGAGCCTGAGTGACATAGCAAGATCTTCTCCTCAAAAGGCTGAGTGATGGAATGTCTTCAATTTTTGCCTAAACTATTTCCGATTGAAACATTTCAAAAGAATTCTAAAACAATTTTTCTTAGAATCTTCCTCCATAACCTGGAGGAAACACTTTAGCCAGTATCCTTTTCCCAGTAACTCATTTACATTTTTATGTGCATAGTTATCATTTTTCAGCCAAAAACTTTATTCAGTAATTCAAAACGTTGTGTTGTCTTCACTGTGTTTTTCCCAGTATTTTTTAAAGGTGTTTTCCGATCCATTCATTCTGCCTTATGTTCTTTCCTCCTTGCTGTCAGCAATTAACACCATGTTTCTGTTCCTGAGGTAACCTCAGTCAGCACTGTACAGTTCTTTCCTGATGAAAATAACGGTAGCAGAGACACGGGAGCTGCCTTATTGGCTTCCTTAAGGCTGGATTCAGTTCTGGTGGCCTTCGCCATGATTCTCCTTTACGGCCAGCAGGAGTTTTGTGTGTGGGGACAGTAGGACCTAATTCTGGGCTTCCCGGACCTCCTTTTCTTATCCTTTTCAGTTCTCAGTGGAACTCAAAATCTTGACATCACAGTATGAGAAAAAGCCTTCAGCAATTCTCTTGTCAGCTGAGCTCTGATTTGGAAATTTTCTATTCCATTTCTTGAGAAGCATTCAAGGTCACAGGCCATGGACTTCTATCTCTGTCCTAGTACACAGTGTGGACAGAACTTTCTCTGGCTTGCTCACAATGATCATAATTTTCAACACATACATGTTCCCCTGTTGCTTTGCACTTGGTTTCAGATACCATTCTAACACCTTGACAGGAAGCCTAAGAGAATTAGAATACTGTTTGCCAGCTTATACTATCCCATTGCCAGAAGCATTTCTCACAACAACTTGTTTGCTATCTATTGATGATGATGTCAAATACTGCTACTCTTCTTTTTTTCCCACTGTCCCACTCACAGAAATGGGGTGTCTGTCTAACTGCTATAGACAGGACACAATGGGCACCCTACTAAACAACACAAGGATTATCATTTTAATATTTCAGCTTGATATAAGCATTAACTTCCCCCAATAAATTGGGGCTTTTATTAGTTATATTGTCTTAATACACAGATACTTCTGTAACTACAAATGATATTTCGGTTAAAATAATATTTCAGTGTGAATCTATGACATTGCCTACATGTTTTCTGTCAAGTAAGTGGTTTATTCTAGTAGATATTTCAGTCTAGTCACATGAATTTTTAAACTTTGTGTCTGTAAATGAAACAATAGTAAGTCAAAAAAAAATATGTACTCATCCAGAATCATTACTATGGAATAGTTTCTCAATAAAAGAAATATTTTCTGATCAGCAAATTATATATTATTTATGAAATTTCCATACATACATATAATCATCCTTCTAGGCAGATTTGAACTCACACTACCAGTAAACCATGTCTGCAAAATCATTTCAAGAAGATCTCAGTGATGTCCACCTAATGCATTCACTCAGTTTTCTATATGCTAAGAATCTGCCTTGTGCTAGGAAGGATTAATAATAAGCAAGAAAAAGCACCCCCTTCCCTATCCATGCAGATGGAGAAGAATGGGAAAGGATATGCTCCAGAGGGAATTGGTATAGGGAGTAAAAAGCAAGCTGGCTGCCAAAAGCATAATCTAGTTAACTGTCCTAGTTAAGGGACAACTATAACCACAAAGCAAAGTGAATGTCTTTTTATCTTTTGTTCTTCGTGCTAATCTAGGTGGTGTCATTTAACAGTTAGGCACCCAAGATCCCAAGGAACAAGAATTGGGAATATAAGGAGGGTTAATAGAGGTTGTCACAATTTTTGAATAAGTAACCACTGGTTAAATAAATAACAACTGAACAATTATTCAGTTCTTTTTTAATCACTAAATGAGTCTGTATATTAATTTAAGTGTTTCTTTCATTGAAAACTTATATCTGAAAAACACTACTCACTTTCCAGGAAAAAAAATGTCACTTTCTATTATTATTCTAATCATGGAAATAGTCACTTAACTCTGTATTAGCTTTGCTATTGAAATCTCTAATCAGATAAACATTACCCTTAAGAATATCCATTACAATTTTAACAAAGACCAAGAGTGTAAAAACACTGTATGTTTTATTCTTTGAAACACAGACTGTGGTTGCAGTGAGAGG